GCGATTTTTAAAAAAAAAAATCGAAATGAGATAATCTCGGCCCCAGGATAGGATAGGATAGCACACTCCGGCCGTGAGACGATACAATACACAATACACAATACACAATAAAGCGCGTCTCGGCGTGGGTTTTCGCACGCGCACGCCTACGCCTACGCACGGCGCAGGAACCAGGAACGGGGGATTCCAGGCGTAGACACGATACAGGGGTGATTTGTTCGCCGGCGCGGGATGGCTATGGACCTGGTATCGATTGCCGGCGCGGGGTGGCAGGCGAAGAGGCGGCCAGGAAATTGAAATTGCGGACGGAGGCGAAATCGGGGTAATTGGGTAATTGGAGCAGCGGCGAGGGCCGGCGACGGGGAGGCGCCGTCGAGCGAGGACCGGATAGGCGGAGGCGTCGGCGAGCCAGGACGCGGGTGGGATACCGCGGGGATAAGATACGATACGGCGAGGAGGGACGGGAACGGCGCCGGCGAGTCAGGCGCCGCGCGCAGGTTCTTGCTCTCCCTCAGATTCCTCTCTCGTGTCTACCGTATGGCCCCCATCCCGCGAGCAGGAGGTCATGACAAGCGTGAGTGGGATTCGCAAGCCGAGCCGGAACCGGAGACGAAAGACGCTATGTAGTGTAGGCACGGCGGGCGACGACGATACCGCGGGACGCATTGTGTGCAGGGGATTGAACCTGCGGATCAATAAATAAAATAATCGCGAGTCGAGTGGATCAAGAGATAAGATGAGATAAGATGATACGGCGCGTGGGTGAGACTGCAAAGGTGCAATTAAACCTGCAGATCAATAACTCAATAATCGTGAGTCGAGTGGATCGACGAGATAAGATATTACCGTTACGGCGCGTTCGTTGACATGCCGCTAGTAAAATTGAATATTACATACGCTACGCATGATTGATATATATATATATATATATGCTTCGCCGCGAGCTTGCCAGCCAGCCCCAGCCGGAGGATGGAGGGAGGAATTCGAAGGAGGAGGGGAGGAACGAGGAGGAACGAGCGACGAGGGGCTGTTGGGATGTCTGGATACAGAAAGACAGAGAGAACGCACAGAGAGCGGAGGATGATCTGGACCGATAGATATCTCGGGGCGGAGAGAGATAAGCTACAATAAATAAACGATAACCAGACGCAGGGCGGGGAGAATTATCGATATTCGGGGATGATATAATATACTCACCGGCGAGGAAATTGAAATCGCCTGGCGATAAGACGAGAAGAGACTAACGCAAGGGATGTAGAGGGGAGGAATTGGAACGACCGCGCGGGCGGGGGTTATGCGCGGCGGGGTCGGCGGCGAGGAGGAGGATATCGATATAATATATCCACCGGCGAGGAAATTGAAATTGGCGGGCGATAAGACGAGACGAGGCTAACGCAAGGGATGTAAAGGGAGGCAAGTAATGTAACCCCGATTCCCGATTCGTCGTCCCACGGAGGTGTGGAATATGAATGTGTATATATATGTATTCAGCGGAGGTGGGGAGGAGGAGGAGACGCGGTGAGGACGGGCGAGCCGGGAACCAGGGTAAGAATCAAGATACAAGATAGCGCAGGGATGAGATACGGCGAGGAAGAACGCGGGTACGGGTGGGAGGGGATTATTGAATCGGCGCCGGTGAGTCAGGCGCCGCACGCAGGTTCTTGCTCTTCCTTGGAATCCTCTTGCGTCCACCGTATGGCCTGTCCCGTGAACCGGATTCGAAAGATGGTATGTAACGCGTGGGTGGGATTCGCAAGCCGAGCCGGAAACGAAAGGACGCTCAGAATGCGTGAGCCGGATACGCCGAGGGGCCTCCCAAAGCGCACTGGCACGGGATGCCGTCTGGCGCTTCTTCGGACGCGGAAAGCTCGGGGGTGCGTGGGCGTAGAGCGTACGTGTCCTGCCCTCATACGATTCGCACCGAGGAAGGGGATTCCAGAAGGCGAGCACGCCACGGCCCGCGCTAATTAATCGGGTCGCCGTATGTCGTATTGAGGGCGGTCCGATTGGCAAGCCGGTCGTGGTGGCCAGGCACGGCGGTGGTGTGAGCGGGCCAGGCACGGCTGTAAGGTATTGGAGCAATGGAAGGGCGATGGCTGGACGACGACACGCCATTGACTGGACGACGACACGCTCATTAAGCAACGGACACACGCGTATGGGGTTTCATGGACCGTCGGCGTAATCACGCTTGCACACCGCCGATCATGCATCCATGCGGTCAAATGTCGCCACGTATCGTGCTTCTTTTCTTGCGAATTCGCATCCCAGCAATATTCATCCTGCAGCGACGACGGCGAGGACGCAGCGCAAGCGGGGTCAATGGACACTTCATTTACTTAATTGTGCGGCATTATGGAACATTGTGTCCGTAGTCGTCGCCCCGGCAATAGGGGATCAGCCATCAATGAACGACAATCGATGCAGTAACACCGGATCATTCCCGGGTCGCAACGGCCGACCACGTATATCATCCTCGCACTCCACGCAAGTGCCGCACGCCCGTCGTCTGTCTGCCCCCAGCGCACGCCCGTCCCTTGCCCGCAAGATGTTCATCCTCCCGGCGCAGTCCCCGTCGCCCCTGGCCCTCTCCGCCGCGACCCCCGCCGTCCACCCGTGGCTCGCCCCGCTCGCCCTCCTCGCCTCCCTCCTCCTCCTCGCCCTCGCCCGCGCCGTCCTCCTCCGCACCCGCGCCCCGCTCGCCCTCCCGCTCGCCGTCGCAGAGAAGCAGCGCCTGCCAGTCGCAGGCAAGGCACTCACGACCCCGCTGGCCCTGATAGCGTGGCTGCTCCCGCTGCGCCTCTCGTGGGAGACCCTGCCGTCCGACCTGCCGCCCATGGCCCCGCTCAAGGATGAGAAGACCGCACCCATAGAAGCCAAGGCACCCGCACCCCCGCGCGGCCGCGTCGCCGCCGCCGTCTCCCGCCCAGAGCCCGCGCGCGCCGCCCGCCCAAGAGTCGAGGCACCTTGTACGTTTTTCTGTGCGTTAGGTGTATACGGGTGCTGACAAGGCATGCAGTACCGGCGATATACGAGTCGCAGACGCCCGTGTCGATGGCGAAGATGATTATGAGCCGCCATGTGCGTACTGCTCTTTCTTCCCTTCCCTTCCTCGTCCTGCTCCCTCCTGCGTCTCCCCACGTCTTGCCCCTGCGAGCCCCATCTCCCGCACGCCCTACCCCTTGATGATTAGACACCGCATCTCCCCCGTCTCCCATCGTTCCATCATCCATCCATCTTACCACATTCCACATATCACCGCCGTCCTGTCCTGTTATCGCTGCATTCCATTCCCCGTTCGCACCCTCATCTATCCTCATCTTACCACACCCCACCCTCCGCTCTCCTCGCCCCGTATCTACCCCGTTTTCCTCACTCGCGGTGGTGACACGTCATCACCTCGCTCCACATTTTCTGCGCCCATATTGCGTCTATTCTCGTTCCTCCACAAATACATCATCCATCTATTTCCGTGACGTCGTTACCCCGTCCCTGTATCCCACCCGCTCAGGCCCCGCCGTCTCCGTGCAGGCCCCGCTGCGCCTTTCATTTTCATCCCCGGCGCCTTCCGTCCTCATCATTCCATACCTATCGTGTCGTGTCGTTTCCTGACACCTACCTACCTACCACTGCCGCCGCCCTCCTTCCTTCCTTATCGTCCCTCCTCCCCCCGCCCCTTCCCCCCTGCGCCCCCCTGCATCTCTTCCTCTTCCTCCCCTCCTAACACCCAGCTGATCCTCTCTTCTAGACCTACCGCGCCCCCGCCCGCCCGCGCTCCCCGCCGCGGTGCTAGCGCCCACCAACTCATACCCAACAAACAACAATCAAATCTATTAAATCAAATAAATTAAACGACGAGGAGGAGAAGAGAATGGAACGGAAGAAACGACGATATGTTATTGTACGACCGAATACGACGGCCTCATGCAGAGGGGAGGCCGAGGCGGAGGTGTGGAGGCGAGGGGTCGGCGCTCGGCGCTGCGAGTGCGAGGAGAGGGAGCGAATCGGAGGGAGACGGGGAAGGGGTGCTTTTGCTTAGAATGAAGGAGGAAGGAGGGGGAACGGACACTTACGCGCCGCCGCGATATCTATATCTATATCATATCTTATTGTCGATATTGGTATCGGTATTGGTATGGGGGTGCTTGTTATTTTTATACATTTTTTTCGGTTTTTTGGATTTTTCTTTTTGTTTGGAGACTTGAAGCTTGAAGGCGGGGGACAGTGGTATTCGAGCGCCACGGCGGCGGCGCTACATGTGTATGCACGCGGATCGAGTGTATGCGGGCTTTCGTGCCCGTCGGCGCCTGCGCAGAAACACATACATACACGGTGCTGCGCTCCTAGGTCACGGGCGCTTCCTACTTCCTCCTTCCTGCTTCCTGCTTCCTCTTCCTATTGCGTTGCGTCATCCAAGTGCTGTACATCCGGCCGGGCTTCCATGCCCGTCGGGACTCGGCGGCTTCTACATCGATGCCTAGTGCTGTGCCCGTCCATCGTACGGTGTTGCTGCTGCGGCTCCATCTCAGTGCTGTAAGCTGTATGGTATGATGTGTGATATGATATGATACGGAGTCGGGGATGCGCGCCCGTCGGCGTCAGCCGACCGGCGACTCTGCGCGGGCGCGCGTCGGGACTCGGGGTGGCGATGGGGTGGGGGTGAGGGTTTATTTCCTAGGTGCATTTCTGTACGTGGGCGGACTTCGAATATTAATTTTCCTACGCGGGCTTCGAATTCCCTCTTCCGGAGGAGGTCGGGCTGTTTTCTGCGGCTTCTCCGCGCGTACATTCTAGGCACTTTCTACCCCGACCCGCGATGTTTTTCTGCGTTAAATTCTAGGCTCTTTTTACGCGGACCTGGGGTGGCTCGCACGTCTTTTCCCATCCTACGCAAGCTTCTCTGGGAATCCCGCAGGTCTTTTTTTAATTTTATTTCGGGGCGGTGCTCTCGCAGCTTGAATTTGCGTCCGTCTTGGTCGGCTGTGGAACGGGTGTCGGAAAGCAGTGTGGTGTAATGCGCACACGGGGTCTTCTTAGGGCTAAGTTGAATTCTAACCCCGAGGTCCTTGTTCGAGCCAAGGCGCTGCTGTGGAGCCAAAGGATATACTGCTTTTTTTTTCTTTCGCCGCTCGCTATCTGAGTTCTCCACCATTTACCCGGGTGCGAAATGAACGGCAGTGTGGCGTACGCGCACACGGAAACTGTGTGCATTCCGGGGCCCCGGGCGACTCCGACTTTCTCCGTGCTCTCGCAGCTTTTGAATTTGGTCGGCTGTGGAATGGGTGTTGGAAAGCAGTGTGGTGTAGTGTGCACACGGGGTCTCCTTAATGGGAAATCAAAAACGAATCTTACCCCCCGAGGTCCTTGTTCGAGCCAAGGCGCTGCTGTAAAACTAGTAGATGTGATGCTTTTTTTTCCCTCCACCGCTTTGCTTTCTGGGGTCTTAGGAACCTAGGCGCGCGCGCTTCTGGTCTGCACGCGATTTTTTCTGTGGGCTTATCTGGAAATTTCGCGGCGTTTTTTTCTCCCCGCATTCGGGCTTTCCTGCGGCCTTTCTGCACGGACTTGGGCCTCTTTTCCGCGTAAATTCTGCGCTCTGTTTACGCGGGCGGACCTGGGGTGTTTTCTGGGACTCGGAATCTCCCAGGGCTTTTTATATCATACGCGGGCTTCTCTGGGCATTTCGCAGGTCTTTTTTATATATTTCGGGGCGGTCTCTCGCAGCTTGAATTTGTGTCCGTCTTGGTCCGGTGTGGAATGGGTGTTGGAAAGCAGTGTGGTGTAGTGCGCACACGGGTCTCCTTGAGTCAAGATAGAATCTCACCCCCGAGGTCCTTGTTCGAGCCAAGGCGCTGCTGTAAAGCCAATATATATACCTGTTTTTTTTTTTTCTTTCACCGCTCGCTATCTGATTTGAATTTCTCCACCATTTGCCCAGGTGCGACATGAATAGCGGTATAGTGTACGCATTTCATCTGCCAGGTTAGACTGGGAAGAATGATCTCGCTGTCCTTGTTCGAATCGAGGAACTGCTGTACAGCCACATGTACTGATTTTTTTACCGCTCGCTATCTAATTCCTCTGCATAAATTCCGCTGGCCGGCTGTTCCGCCTCGGGATCATACTCGGACTGGGATCTGGACGCGGACTGGCTCGTTTCTCTCTCTCTCTCTGTGCTTCAGTTCTTCCCGGCGGAGCGTCTAAACTTGTCTTCTGCCATGTAACGACTTTGCGGTGGATGCGTTTATTTTCCGCTAGTCTTTATGCGGGTGCGAAATGGGATGAGGGAAGCAGCATGGTGTATGGTGCACACGGGGATTCGCTTTGCCATCTTAACAGCTCCACCCCGAGGTCCTTGTTCGAATCGAGGTGCTGCTCTTTCCGGTTTCTGGTTTCCGCAATTTTTTTTTTGGTCCTGGGTCTCTGCTCTGTCATTTCGGGACTAATCGACAAATCAGAGTCCAGGTGATTCTTCTCCGAGCATTTTTCAAGGATCTCCGGCGACACTTCATCCCGGGGCCGTTTTGTGTGCCGTCAAAGTCCTGTATATCTCGCGGGCGGACTGGGGTGTTTTTCTGGGAATTCTCCCACGACCTTTCCTATCCTACGCGAGCTTCTCTGGGCATTTCGCAGGTCTTTATTTCTTTACAGCCATTTCATAAATAGTATACGGGTTTTGATCGAGTGGTGCTCGTTTGTTTTTGTTTACCTCTGATTGCAAGGGGCTACCGAGATAAGGAATTTCCTAATTAGGGACAGGGGGGGGGTCCCTCTGGCTGCTGAAAAATGTATTTGATACCTGTTTTGCAAACTCGTTGAAATGCCCAGAAAAACACTTAGAAAAAAAAAACAGAAATATTTACCACCACATCTGATCAAAATCATCTGAGTAAAAATTTCTGAGGCACTCCATGTGAGCTCAGACCTTTATCTGAGCCCTTTATGTGTGTTCTCTGATATTTCGGCTTCCAAAGGTTTGAATCATGTCAGATCAGATCGATCACGTGGTAATCTCAGCGACCTAGCGAGGTTGCCTAAATTGCGCTGCAAAATTCGGAAGCACCTGGAATTAATCTAGAATGTGTTTAGGTATAGTATATACAGTTCCTTGCGGTGGTTGAAGGACCTGGGGGTGGTTTCTAAAGATTTTGACCTCCCAAAAAGGAAATTTGATGGCACGTGCCTGCTTACGTAGGGGAGGGGGTCGACCAAACCTCTGAAAAACGTATTCCGACCTTGGGTGTTTTTTTCGGGGATCGGTAGCCCCTTGTCTGATTGACACTGAGTCCCTCGGCTATGTCATAGCCCCACCACACGGTGTTGTGACTCCACTTCAACTCCAACCTACCCAACATATAGGTGCGCCATTCAACATGATTTTCACTATTCTTTCCTCTCTGCCTTGAACTCAACATATCGGAGATGTTCTTCGTATTGCCTCGAGCCATGAGTGCCAGTAGTAGAGTAAAGTCCCATTGCGTCACGTAGTGTGTGGTGGAGCCAGGTGGAGCCAACAGAGACTCACCGTCAATCAGAGGTAAACAAAAACGAGCAAGCACCACTCGATCAAAACCCATATACTATTTATGAAACGGCTGTATTTCGGGGCCGTGCTCTCGTAGCTTTTGAATTTGTGTCCGTCTTGGTCCGCTGTAAAATGGGTGCTGGAAAGCAGTGTGGTGTAGTGCGCACACGGGGTCTCCTTGAGTCGGAAGAGAATATTGCCCCCGAGGTCCTTGTTCGAGTCAAGGCGCTGCTGTGAAGCCGAAATATGGGGTCTGGTGAAGCAGGCGCGGCATTGACGCGCGTTGACGCGGCAGTGACGCGCTGTGACGCGGCGTGACGCGCGACTGACGCGGCAACTGGCGCGCTGTCTCTCACCGAGCACACATCACTTGTTTGACCCCGCAAACCATCCACACAACGTTTTCTTGGCTAAATACACCAGCGGAAGTCAAAAAACCCTTACCTAAAATGTGGTCAGTACAACCTCAGCCGTCTCTAATTAGCAACTAATTAGTGCTAATTAGGCCTGGTTGGCCTTGTCTGCACCAATGTACATTGCCTCCCAGCCGCTCAAATATGAGGAAAATGTGAATCTGAGTAGCATACATGAGTCCGCATCATGAATAATTTTTGTTGTGGTACTAATTTACTAAAGTTACGCAGCCTGATGAGAACCGTACCGATCCCCAGGTGCAAAATTATTAGATTTCGCGGAGCCTTTCCAATGCGCAACAGATTACTAGGGACTGTAAGATGAACATATGTCTGTACAGTGACCATCTCCGTGGTTATCTCCAGCCGGTCTTTAGTTCAAGAGCAGCGTGAATTCAAGTTGGCCGAGGTAAAGGTTGCGTTTATCGAGATAACTCTGTCAGAGTGGAACTAGGTTCCTGTCTAGCGAATCAAGCTGAGACCCTACTGTGGCTACTGGGCCTTTCCCTCATTCAACTAACTGAAGAAGGAGAAACCATGCACAAATTCACATAGCTTTTACGACTGGACTCACTGATCAATTATGAATGATTTTAGATTTACACTTGTACTTTTTTACATGAGACGCAGACCCGCTTGCTTCATTCATCCATGAATAAAATAAGATGGATGGAATCCCTGCGCAAGAATTATAAATTCATTCAGCAAAGGTTTATGATGCTTATGAGTGTTGGCTCGGTAAATTAGGACGTGTTATCTGCAACTCAGACTATGTCACTACTGCAAAATAAATTGCCCAGTTTTAGACTTAAACCATGGGTGTTTAAAATATCAAATTTGGAGCCCAACCTCGCACCCAACTTGGTGCCCAACCTCGCGTGAAGTTAGAACATGAAATAGTTCGGGACTCTAAGTTGGATGTCAAATAGTACTCCAGCCTCCGGACCACGATTTGACATCCAATCTGGACCCCAGCTTATGTTCCCGCTCGGTTTGGCCCACCCATTGCCCTTCCCGGGACCAATCACAATATGGCCCATATTGGACTTAGGTTGGAGTCGAAATTGGGTCTGAACTTGAGTGTGAAATAAGATATTTGAAACACTCTATTGGAACTATGAACATGCGTGTGCACTACTAGATAATGTGAGGCCAATGTTGAAGAGTCCCAAATTGAACCAGTAAGTCGACAGAAGTCGTTGCGGAGCAGGCACAAGATGAGCATGAACAATTATGGACAGAAAGTGTTCGATGAATGTTGTTAAGAACTCAGTAGTGTGCAGAGGACCAGTAGGTGAAGGGACAACATTTCTCTCTAAGTCAGTCCGACTGGGCCGCTCTGTTGGAATTATTTGATTCCAAGGTTCGAACTCGCTGTCCGTTCCAGCTCATTGTTTGCCTATCGTACGCTTTTCAACGCACTCTATATATAGGTCAAGCAATCTACTTGTTGTTCTCAACTTGTCCTTAGCTCTTCCTCAACATGATCCACCTTCCACCGTCTATGCACTAACGGAGCACTTCTCATCAATTTTCGGGTTGAGTGATATCGCACATAGTGCATTTACAGACAATTGAGATTTACTGCATGACTACCAACTATGTCTGTATTTTAACGATACCGACACCGAAAACTGCAATATTTTGGTCAAACTGGCACCAACCGCGACACCATTTGAGATCTCAGTATCTCAATTGAATTATTTCCTGCATTTCTTTTCTTCCATTGAGCGCTACAGGATACAGGATCTGTCAAGGCATTGTATTGAACGAGCCACGATCGGAACGGGGAGGACCACATCTCAACTCATGACCAAAATTGAACCTTGAGAAATGGCTTGTTGCATCGTCCTAGGCATGATGAGCCCGTTGGGCGCATGCAATTTTATGTTCTGCAATTAGTTGGTTGCACTTATTCTGAGATGGACCGGCATCAAAGACCGAATACCCGAATAATATGAGGCTCGTTGCTCTGATATCTCTTTCAATGATTCCTTCAAGTACCGACGAGCCATGTGCCTCTACCTGAAACATGACTTACATGAAGTTGACTGTGCTCTGATCTTTTTCAGACTCTTCAAGTCAAAGTTGACTCGCAGGAATTAACAGGCACCAGTTATGTACTGTTTCTATCCACATCTACCCCCCATGCAGCTGAAAAATGGTGGTTGATTCGGCCGAATCTTCTTGTTCAATTGTAGCTGTGACTGTGGTATGCGCAAAATTTGATCTGGGTTGAAATGGGCTCACCGATGTTCGTCTTGTTCCCCATTTTTCAGCAAGTTAACCTTGTGCTGCACATACATATGTATTTTTTAAAGTCTTCATGTTAGGCTGGTTATCTGGCTCCACTCTGTGATTCGTGCGAAAAATAAAGACTCATCCAATCTTGTGTCAATTGAATCCATGGCAAGATACAGGGGGAAGAATCCGTGAATGGGTAGGTAGAAATGGTAGATAATCATGATCCTCGGAGGTTTCTTCCTGTGTGCACTGTTAATTGAGAGTAGTACTAGGTCCGAAACACCATAATTTCACTGTGGAATGGAGCTGTATTGCAACTATACAACGTGCCAGAACATGCCTAGGCAACGTGGAGTTGACGCGGCAGTGGCTGTGTTGACGCGGTGCTGACGCGCATTGACGCGGCAGCGGTGCGCACTGGCGCGGCAAGTGACGCGGCATTGACGCGGCAACCACGCAGTATCGGGCTTTTTTAAGAGGTCCTACAAGTATTGAAATATCAGTATACATGTTCACAAACGTTCCTAGCCGCACGAAGGTCACAAAAATGACAAACCAGGCTGACGGACTTCATGTTTCAGCTTGCAGGAATACATATTAACCCTGGCACTTCTCACTTTGAGTGTCAGGCCTTCTCTGACAGGTCCTGGAGGTCATTTCGAACGTCGTACATACGTCAGAAATAGCGGCGGCAAGTTTTAAGATGCCGCGTCACGCCGCGTCAATGCCGCGCCGGTCCGCGTCAATGCCGCGCCAGTGCGCGTCAGTGCGCGCCTGCCGCGTCAATTTCTCCGGACCGCGAAATATGTATTGCTTTTTTTCTTCCCTCCACCGCTCGCTATCTGATTTCTCCACCATTTTACCCAGGTGAGAAATGAACACGGGTATTTCATCCGCCAGGTTGGACTAGGAAGAATGGTCTCAATGTCCTCGTCCGAATCGAGGTACTGCTGTACAGCCACATGTACTGGTTTTTTTTTACCGCTCGCCATCTAATTTCTCTGCATAAATTCCGCTAGCCGGCTGTCTCGGACTGGGACTGGGACGCAGGCTGGCTCGTTTCCCTCTCTCTCTCTCTGTGCTTCAGTTCTTCCCGGCGGAGCGTCTAAACTTGTCTTCTGCCATGTAACGACTTTGCGGTGGATGCGTTTATTTTCCGCTAGTCTTTATGCGGGTGCGAAATGGGATGAGGGAAGCAGCATGGTGTATTGCGCACACGGGGATTCGCTTTGCCATCTCAATATCTCCACCCCGAGGTCCTTGTTCGAGTCGAGGTGCTGCTCTCCAAGTTTCTGGTTTCCGCCAATTTTTTTTGGTCCTGCGTCTCTGCTCTGTCATCTCGGGACTAATCGACAACTCAGATTCCAGGTAATTCTTCTCCGTGCATTTTCTAAAGGCCTTCCGGGGGCACTTCATCCCGGGGCCGTTTCTCTGTGTTTTATGTGCGCAGTTAAATTCTATCACCCTCTCAACGTTTTCATTCCTTTAGTACTACTTACCCAGGTGCGAAATGATACCATGAAAGCAGTATGGTGTATTGTGCACCCGGGGTTTCCTTTCACAGGTGATCGGAATCGAAGCACCCCAAGGTCCTCGTTCGAGTCGAGGTGCTGCTGTATGTTGGCAACCGATGCGTTTTTTGCTGGCGCCCTCTCTGCCCCCAGCTCAACGCGAAATCCACGTCCGAGCCGTGGCTCTGCGTGTGTTTCTCTCTGCGCGCGTTTCTCTGTGTGTGCATTTCGAGAGCCGGGGGACTGTCTCCGTGCTCTCGCCGGTTTTGAACTTGGTCGGCTGTGGAACGTGTGTTGGAAAGCAGTGTGGTGTAGTGCGCACACGGGGTCTCCTTGAGTCGAAATGGAACCTTACCCCCGAGGTACTTGTTCGAGTCAAGGCGCTGCTGTGAAGCTGGAAGATGTATCGGTTTTTTTTTTCTTCCGCCGCTCGCTATCTGATTTCTCCACCATTTATTTACCCAGGTGCGAGATGGATAGCAGTATGGTGTACGCATTTCATCTACCAGGTTAGACTATAGCTAGGAAGAATGATCTCGATGTCGTTCGAATCGAGGTACTGGTTTTATCACTGCTCGCTATCTAATTCCTCTGCATAAATTCCGCTGGCCGGCTGATCCAACTCGGACTGGGATTTGGACGCGGGCTGGCTCATTTCTTTCTCTCTCCGTGTGGTTCAGCTTTTCCCGGCGGAGCGTCTAAACTTGTCCTCTGCCATGTAACGACTTTGCGGTGAATGCGTTTATTTTCCGCTAGCGGGTACGCAGGTGCGAAATGGGGTGAAGGAAGCAGTATGGTGTATGCCGCATGCGGGGTTCATTTACCCAGGACATCAGATCAACCCCGAGGTCCTTGTTCGAATCGAGGTGCTGCTCTTTCCGGTGTCCGCAATATTTTTTGGTCCTGTGTCTTTGCTCTGCCATTTCGGGACTACTCGACAACTCAGAGTCCGGGTGATTCTTTTCTGTGCATTTTCTGAAGGCCCTCCGGAGGCGCTTCATCCGGCCGTTTCTCTGTGTTGTGTGTGCGCAGTTAAATTCTATCAGCCTCTCAACGTTTTCATTCTTAGTACTACTTACCCAGGTGCGAACTGATATCATGAAAGCAGTATGGTGTATCGTGCACGCGGGGTTTCCTTTCGCAGGGGATTGGAATCGAATCGCCCCGAGGTCCTCGTTCGAGTCGAGGTGCTGCTGTATGTTGGCAACCGATGCGTTTTTTGCTCGCGCTCTCTCTGCCCCAGCTCAACGCGAAGTCCACGTCCGAGCCGTGGCTCTGCGTGTGTTTCTCTCTGCGCGCGTTCCTCTGTGTGTGCATTTCGAGAGCCGGGGGACTGTCTCCGTGCTCTCGCCGGTTTTGAACTTGGTCGGCTGTGGAACGTGTGTTGGAAAGCAGTGTGGTGTAGTGCGCACACGGGGTCTCCTTGAGACATAATCGAATATTAATGTTAACCCCGAGGTCCTTGTTCGAGTCAAGGTGCTGCTGTGAAGCTGGAAGATGTATCGGTTTTTTTTTTTCTTTCGCCGCTCACTATCTGATTTCTTCACCTCCACCATTTAGCCAGGTGCGAGATGGATAGCAGTATAGTGTACGCGCACACGGAAACTGTGTGCATTCCGGGGCCCCGGGGGACTCCGACTGTCTCCGTGCTCTCGCAGCTTTCGAATTTGGTCAGCTGTGGAACGTGTGTTGGAAAGCAGTGTGGTGTAGTGTGCACACGGGGTCTCCTTGAGTCGGAATAGAATATTGCCCCCGAGGTCCTTGTTCGAATCAAGGCGCTGCTGTGAAGCTAGTAGATGTGATGATTTTTTTTCCCTCCACCGCTTAGGTTTCTGGGGCGTCTTCGAGGAATCTAGGCGCGCGCGTTTCTGGTCTGCACGCGATTTTTTCTGCGCTTTCTGACCATGGGCTTGTCTGGAAATTTCGCGGGGTTTTTTCTCCCCACATTCGGGCTTTCCTGCGGCCTTTCTGCACGGACTTGGGCCTTGTTTTCGCGTAGACGCCACGCTCTTTTTACGCGGGCGGACCTGGGGTGTTTTTCTGGGGATTCTCTCACAACTTTTCTTATTCTACGCGGGCTTCTCTGGGCATTTCGCAGGTCTTTTTTATTTATCTCGGGGCCGTGCTCTCGTAGCTTTTGAATCTGCGTCCGTCTTGGTCCGCTGTGGAATGGGTGTCGGAAAGCAGTGTGGTGTAGTGCGCACACGGGGTCTCCCTAAGGATGACTCGAAATCGGATGTCCCCCCGAGGTCCTTGTTCGAGTCAAGGTGCTGCTGCGAAGCTAGTAGATGTGATGCTTTTTTTCCCCCCCACCACTTTGGTTTCTGGGGTCCTCGAGGAATCTAGGCGCGCGCGTTTCTGGTCTGCACTATGATGGTTCGTTTGTACAAATATTAAATTTGCGCGCGCGCACGACATCAGCGCGTGCGCGCGAACAAATCACTACATACAATGTACATAATGTTACTAGTACTGAACATAAGATTATATACTGTCATCTACCTCAAAAGCCCCCGCAACCGTAGATGCGAGGCTCCTCAGTAGCACCTTGGGTCAATTACAAGCTTGCTGTCGTCCGTTTGTCTCGAGGGCTGGCGAGACAAAGGAACCAGACAAGTTGCAGAGACCGCGAGGCGAGGGGGAGGGGAGGGGAGGGGAGGGATGGGATAAACAGTGGCTATCGAAGTTGAAGCCAGCACAGGGCCGTTGTCGGTGGATGCTGGTGCGCTGGAGAAGAGAAAAGAAAGTGGGTGACGTGTCCGATGGGTCTGGGCCCGAAAGCAAGAACAAACACTCCCACGATAGGCGAGGATCGGAACAAGTGGCGGTGCTTGCCATCATTCCATCTTTTCGTCTCCCTGAGAGTCTCCCAGGTCTCGCGAGTCTCTCGCTCTGTCCGTCCCAGCCTTCGCCTCGACTCTTGATCATCTCCCATGTGAGATCGCAGCCACACCTCCCAACTGAGCCCTCACGATGTAAGCCTTACCCCCCCCTATCGTGCTCTCGCTGGAAATTCCTTAGCCCCAACGCAGACGACTTTAAAAGGGATTCAAAAAGGACAGCAGGATGCAAGGGACGACGGATCCTAGGTAATTGGTTGTCGATACTTCCTCGGCACCCTCGGCACAGTGCACGTAGACCTGACTTACGGAATGGTGTAACCGGATTTCTCCTAATAGTCAGTCCACGGTTGGCCGTGGGAGTTCTGTATGTAATTTCAATCGACCAGGGCGCGCGCGCGCGTTTTGGGGTCGCGCGCGCGCTAAATGATACGCGCGCGTGCGAAATCAATTTTTGTACAAACGAACCGTCATATGCACGCGATTTTTTCTGTGCTTTCTGACCATGGGCTTATCTGGAAATTTCGCGTGGTTTTTTCTCTCCGCATTCGGGCTTTCCTGCGGCCTTTCTGCACGGACTTGGGCCGTTTTTCCGCGTAAATTCTACGCTCTTTTTACGCGCGCGGACCTGGGGTGTTTTCTGGGACTCAGAATCTCGCACGACTTTTCCAATCCTACGCGGGCTTCTCTGGGCATTTCAAATTCGCAGGTCTCTTTTTATTTATCTCGGGGCCGTGCTCTCGCAGCTTGAATTTGTGTCCGTCTTGGTCCGCTGTGGAATGGGTGTTGGAAAGCAGTGTGGTGTAGTGCGCACACGGGGTCTCCTTGAGGCGAAATCGATAATAATGTTCCCCCCGAGCTCCTTGTTCGAGCCAAGGTGCTGCTGTACAGCCAGTATATATATCGGGGGGGGGTTTTTTCTTCCATCGCGCGCTATCTAATTTCTCCACCATTTACCCGGGTGCGAAAAGTACGCTCACACGGGCATTTCATCTGCCAGGTCAGATTAGGAAGAATAATCTCGATGTCCTCGTTCGAATCGAGGTGGTGCTGCACAGCCACATGTGCTGGTTTTTATTACCGCTCGCTATCTAATTCCTCTGCATAAATTCCGCTGGCCGGTTGTTCCACCTCGGAATCGGATTCGGACTGGAACTTGGATGCGGGCTGGCTCATTTCTTTCTCTCTCCGTGTGGTTCAGCTTTTCCCGGCGGAGCGTCTAAACTTGTCCTCTGCCATGTAACGACTTTGCGGTGAATGCGTTTATTTTCCGCTAGCGGGTACGCAGGTGCGAAATGGGGTGAAGGAAGCAGTATGGTGTATGCCGCATGCGGGGTTCATTTACCCAGGACATCAGATCAACCCCGAGGTCCTTGTTCGAGTCGAGGTGCTGCTCTTTCCGGTGTCCGCAATATTTTTTGGTCCTGTATCTCTGCTCTGTCATTTCGGGACTACTCGACAACTCAGAGTCCAGGTGATTCTTCTCCGTGCATTTTCTGAAGGCCCTTTGGAGACACGTCATCCCGGGGGCGTTTCTCTGTGTTGTGTGTGCACAGTTAAATTCTATCAGCCTCTCTCAACGTTTGCCTTCCTCTAGCACTTACCCAGGTGCGAAACGGTACCATGAAAGCAGTATGGTGTATTGTGCACGCGGGGTTTCCTTTCGCAGGTGATCGGAATCGAAGCACCCCGAGGTCCTCGTTCGAGTCCAGGTGCTGCTGTGGTTCTTGTTGATGCCCGATGCTTTTTTTTCTCGGTCTCGCTCTGCCCCAGCTCAACCCCGAGTCCGCTTCCAAGTCGTGGCTCTGCGGGCGTATCTCTGTGTGTGCATTTCGGGTTCGGGGCCGGGGAGACTTTCTCCGCGCTCTCGCAGCTTTTGAATTTGGTCGGCTGTGGAATGTGTGTCAGAAAGCAGTGTGGTGTAATGCGCACACGGGGTCTCCTTGAGACGAAATCGAATATTAATGTTAACCCCGAGGTCCTTGTTCGAGCCAAGGCGCTGCTGTGAAGCTGGAAGATGTATCGGTTTTTTTTTTCCTTTCGCCGCTCGCTATCTGATTTTTCCACCTCCACCATTTAGCCAGGTGCGAGATGGATAGCAGTATAGTGTACGCGCACACGGGAACTGTGTGCATTTCGGGGCCCCGGGGGGACTTTCTCCGTGCTCTCGCAGCTTTTGAATTTGGTCGGCAGTGGAATGGGTGTTGGAAAGCAGTGTGGTGTAGTGCGCACGCGGGGTCTTCTTAGGGCCAAGTCGAGCTTACCCCCGAGGTCCTTGTTCGAGCCAAGGCGCTGCTGTGTAGCCAAAGGATGTAATGCTTTTTTTTTTTTTTTTTCCCTCCACCGCTTTGGTTTCTGGGGGGTCTTCGAGGATCTAGGCGCGCGCATTTCTGGTCTGCACGCGATTTTTTCTGTGGGCTTATCTGGAAATTTCGCGGGGTTTTTCCTCCCCGCATTCGGGCTTTCCTGCGGCCTTTCTGCACGGACTTGGGCCTTTCTTCCGCGTAAATTCCACGCTCTTTTACGCGGACCTGGGATGTTTTTTCTGGGACTCAGAATCTCGCAGGGCTTTTCCTATTATACGCAAGCTTCTCTGGGCATTTCGCAGGTCTTTTTTATTCATTTCGGGGCCGTGCTCTCGTAGCTTTTGAATTTGCCTCCGTCTTGGTCCGGTGTGGAACGTGTGTTGGAACGCAGTGTGGTGTAGTGCGCACACGGGGTCTCCTTGAAGCTCAATAGGATGTGCCCCCCCGAGGTCCTTGTTCGAGTCAAGGTGCTGCGGTCAAGCCAAAATTTGTACTGGTTTTTTTTTTCTTCCACCGCTCGCTATCTGATTTAAATTTCTCCACCATTTATTTACCCAGGTGCGAGATGGATAGCAGTGTGATGTACGCGTACACGGGCATTGTGTGCATTTCGGGGCCCCGGGGGCACTTTCTCCGTGCTCTCGCAGCTTTTGAATTTGGTCGGCTGTGGAATGAGTGTTGGAAAGCAGTGTGGTGTAGTGCGCATACGGGGTCTCCTCAATGGGAATCGAAACTTACCCCCGAGGTCCTCGTTCGAGTCAAGGTGCTGCTGTACAGTCAGTATATATATCGGCTTTTTTACTTCTTTCTTCCACCGCTCACTATCTGATTTCTCCGGTGCGAGATGGATAGCAGTGTGGTGTACGCATTTCATCTGCCAGGTTAGACTAGGAAAAATGATCTCGATGTCCTCGTTGGAATCGAGGAGCCACATGTACTGGTTTTCTTACCGCTCGTTATCTAATTCCTCTTTATAAATTCCGCTGGCGGGCTGTGGCTTATCTGCGAATTTCGCGCGGTTCTTCTCCCCTGCTTTTTTGCTGCGGCTTATCTGCTTTCTTCTCCGGTTTTCAGGCAGTCTTCTGCTCCTTTCTGCACGGACTTGGGCGTCTTTTCTGCGTAAATTCCACGCTCTTTTATGCAGACCTGGGGTGTTTTTCTGGGGATTCTCGCACGACTTTTCCTATCCTACGCGGGCTTCTCTGGGAATTTCGCAGGTCTTTTATTTATTTATTTCGGGGCCGTGCTCTCGCAGCTTTTGAATTTGGTCGGCTGTGGAATGGGTATTGGAAAGCAGTGTGGTGTAGTGCGCACACGGGTTCTTCTTAAGGCCAAGTCGAATTCTACTCCCGAGGTCCTTGTTCGAGTCAAGGTGCTGCTGTAGAGCCAGTATATATATCGGTTTTTTTTTCTTCCACCGGTCGCTATCTAACTTCTCCACCATTTACCCAGGTGAGAATAAACACGGGTATTTTATCCGCCAGGTTAGACTAGGAAGAATGGTCTCGATGTCCTCGTTCGAATCGAGGTACTGCTGTACAGCCACATGTACTGGTTTTTCTACCGCTCGCTATCTGATTCCTATGCATGAATTCCGCTGGCCGGCTGTTCCAACTCGGACTCGGACTGGGACTTGCACGCGGGCTGGCTCGTTTCTTTCTCTCTCCGTGTGGTTCGGCTTTTCCCGGCGGAGCGTTTAAACTTTATCTTCTGCTATGTAACGACTTTGCGGTGAATGCGTTTATTTTCCGCGAGCTGTTATGCGGATGCGAAATGGGATGAGGGAAGCAGTATGGTGTATGCCGCATGCGAGGTTCATTTATCCACAACATCAGGTCAACCCCGAGGTCCTTGTTCGAATCGAGGTGCTGCTCTTCAAGTTTCCGGTTTGTGCAATTTTTTTTTTGGCCTGCGTCTCTGCTCTGTAATTTCGGGACTAATCGAGAACTCAGAGCCCAGGTGATTCTTCTCCGTGCATTTTCTGAAAGCCCTCCGGATGCGCTTCATCCCGGGGGCGTTTCTCTGTTCCTGGTACCGACCTAGGGACCAGGTCTCAAACCCGTAACCTTGATCGGCAATTTTTCCCGTCTCGATCATGACGGGTAATTGTTTAATGCCCGGACCACGTGCACCCTACCTCCCTCAAAACCCTGTAACCCGGACGGTAAAAATCTGCGTCTCGATCATGACGGGCTCTTCATTATTCACCGGCTCACGTCTTAGCACCCAAACTGTCTAAAAAATCCGTGTCGATCACGAGATATCTGTTGACGCACGTAAAGATTTGTCAAGCTGATCGTTAACATTCTTAAACCTTAAACTGTACGAAGCGGTAATGCGAGGGTTAAATTATTTGAATTCGTGGGTAAAGATCATGTAACCGCTAGCCCAATTCTGACAGAGTTGTTGGCTCATTTGTATTCGGGAGAGTAAACATCCATGCAGTTGTGTGTATCGGATTCATAACCATCTGCACGTAGGGGGTCAACAATTGTCGAGTTCCGCGTTCCGGGCATAGAACCTACCGGTGACATTGCGCTCGTTGTCTTCCAAAGTGCATTAGCGCTGCACACCAATCTACAGTGTGTCTTACCTGCTGGCATCTTCTATCTCTTCAGCGGGGTACAGTCGTCATCATACACATTATTAGCAAGGTCGTTGTCTCTCATCCTGAAATTCAGAGGATCGTTATTGGGATCTACGCTACACAACTGCGGAATGAGTAGCGACATGGTGGAAGGTGCCAAAAGGGAAAAACGTGACTTTTCATTTGATCGCCGATGTTCACCGGAGGTATTAAAACTCCGACCGGGACTACCCGGAATCGCCGTTAAAGTGTCCAAGCTCTGTTTGTTCAGAACTTACGGCTTTCATTGGATTTCAGGGAAAGCGGCTATCATGCAGGTCCGCTTACGGATGTAAAGCTCATGGAATACATCGACACGTTGTGGAAAACAGAAATCTTATCAGGCCATGTATCGACCAAACAGTCCAATTTTGAGCCAGATGTGAAAGCGTACAAGTAAATAGGTACTGCAGTCCTTCAAGGTGGGATAAATAAGTACATTGTGCGTGAAACCATACAGGGCGCTATTTAATGCAACAGCCTGAAAGCACGGTGGGTGAGGTTGAAGCGAATAGGCCTAAAGCTCCGTAAGCATTGTATCAAGCACGGTACTGCAGAAGCGAACCCTTTGATCACCTCACGGACGTCTACGAGCTTGTGTTCCGCTAGGTCGCCGAATCCGCCTTCTTTAGGCACCTTGACAGCCAGCACATTGCCTATCCACTTCAACGGTAGGCGTCCGCACATCGCCGACACAAGCTCGTTGGGAGCTTAAACCTTTCGGGGTGGTACAAGAACATGTGAATACCAAGGGTGGCCGATAACCGCTCATTCACCGACCCCCTTTAGGACGTCGGCAAATATCTGGTGCTTCGCCGCCCCGCCTGGGAAGTACTCGGACTGCAGGGCAGGCGTTTGTGCATCATGTGGGAACAGCAACTATGTGCGTTGACGGAAGCTTTGTCGTGGTGCGGCATGGTCACCCTTATAGGCATGTTTTTCCTGGCGTTGTAACTGGGTATTAACGACACTATAGAAGACAACGAACTCGTACTTCAATCTACTGTTTCTTACCAGCTGAAACCGAGCACGGTGGTACTTGCAGATGTTGTGTTATCAATAGAAGAATGGAAGGGGGCACAAGACGAAGAGGATTACATTCTGGCAGTGGATACCCTACGAGGCATTGTGCAAGTAGGTACCTAGTGAATGTGCGAGGTCCTTATCTATACAACTATAATACTCCCCGAAGGTGGTTTGTGCACCTTCAGCTTCGGACGCGGAATTGATTATTGACATTTGTTTTTTTGGGACGCTGTACAGTCCTGTATTAGGAAGCACAACAGTCAGACGGTTTCGTCGATATCTGAGCCTAATCTCGGTCCAAAGTGTATTCTGGATCGGATCGATATGTAGTCCATGGCGCAATTTACTTTTCAGAGAAACATCCAATAGCTGTTGAGAACGAGGCAAATCTTTCTGGTACCCCAAATATGCCCAATTGACATGGAAGCGCAACACTTTGACGTCATTGATTGTAGTTCTGGGAGTATACTGTTTGGTGGTTTAACCTACATATCTGTAATTAGGGACGCTGAAAACCCCCAATGCAACAAACTTGGCATATGCCAGCGCTGTAAACACGGAAAGAAGGAAAGGTCCCCTCAAGATTGCGATGTTTGTGGCCATATTTCAGAGTCTTTTGATCCCCACTACCTGACCTTTCCTTCTTTCCGTGTTTACAGCGCTGGCATATGCCAAGTTTGTTGCATTGGGGGTTTTCAGCGTCCCTAATTACAGATATGTAGGTTAAACCACCAAACAGTATACTCCCAGAACTACAATCAATGACGTCAAAGTGTTGCGCTTCCATGTCAATTGGGCATATTTGGGGGTACCAGAAAGATTTGCCTCGTTCTCAACAGCTATTGGATGTTTCTCTGAAAAGTAAATTGCGCCATGGACTACATATCGATCCGATCCGGAATACACTTTGGACCGAGTTATTTGGGTGAGATTAGGCTCAGATATTGACGAAACCGTCTGACTGTTGCGCTTCCTAATACAGGACTGTACAGCGTCCCAAAAAAACAAATGTCAATAATCAATTCCGTGTCCGAAGCTGAAACCATACAATAGCCGTTAATTAGAGTCGCGGAATCAATGACTCAACACGCTTTCCTCCTTAAAATCAATGTGTCACCCTTCTCTGAAGTTCTCTCCCTGTCAGAACTGGTATTCGTCCGCCAGAAATTTATTGAACAACGGAGAATGGTCAAGATTTTCCCATTCTGCTTGCCGCGTTCCGCGCGAGACCTGGTCAGAGGTCGGATATCCGGTGCGCTAAGCGAGACTTGGGTGCTTTCTGCCTATAGCATCCTGTGCTATAAGCCAGCTATCTCGGAAAAAGGTGACAAATGAACAAATTTAATTTCTCTTATTAATTTTTCTAATCCGAAGACTGCGCGAGCCGTAGCGACCCCGGAGGCCCAAGGCGCCACCTAACAAACCCCGCAGGTATACAAAGGGACACAGCCACCTGATGAGTCTTTTGACGAAACGTTGCTGCCTTCGTTGTGGTCCTGCACACTTTCCTCTCAAACTGGTATATATTCTCACTCAGGCTCCTTTTCGCTCGCTCGGCCCTGCGGGCCGACCTCGCTCGCCGCTGATTTGTGTGCTCGTAAACTAGTAGGGAAACTCGAAACGTTTATACCCAAACACAAAGTTCGTGGATATAAGCAAAAGCCTGAGCAACCGACCAACAAAGCGCAAGATATAAGACGTAAGATTCCCAGTAGAAACCGACGAGTGTCAGTCCCTGCTTCAGAGCCTTTAAAAGGTTGAAGGGAGAGGTTTTGGGTAGGAGAAAGTGTGTAGAGTACTGTGTTGCAGAGATATTGCTTGCTTGCGCAAAACGATATATCCAAAACGGTAGATATTATAATGCTTCACAGCGACAAGGCAAAGCCAAGGCAAGGTTGAGTGTCCGGAGACGATAGGCGCAATACCCAAGAGCGTGTGGTGAGTTTACAACTCCGTGGGGTTTGTGGTGTGTGTGGATATAATCCAAAATAGCAATTCCGACGTCCAAGGCAGTGTTCTAGTAGCAATCCGACGTCCAAGGCAGTGTTCTCGTAGCAGTTCCGACGTCCAAGGCAGTGTTCTCGTATCAATCCGACGTCCAAGGCAGTGTTCTAGTAGCAGTTCCGACGTCCAAGGCAGTGTTCTAGTATCCCATATAATTCCGATTCAAATATACATCCAATAGAGTAAGATTTCGAGATGCCACACCCTTCTATATGGTAGTGCACAACCAGAAGATCCCAGATCGCCCCGAATCGCAAGCGTAAGCCTACTAGTCGTGGGGTGATGCTGTATCCTTCTAATAGCGACGACCTACTACTTATATACAAGTCCCAGAATAAATAAGTACAAGCAGATATAAGAAAATATGAGTCAAACAGCCGCGTATCCGTCGGATAGTCATCCGGTATAGTGAATCCAGTCGATGCCATTGGCTGCAAGTCTTGAGCACGCCATATTACAGTCATCCGCCAAGACAGAACCTCAGTCAGCAATCAGCTGAAAGGCCAAAAGCTCAGTCAGCACTGAGCTTATTTCCAATCCGCCCAAACCGACATCAGATACAGGATTGATTCCTATATCCTGCACTCCTCGTTCATTTCCCTCCAGCTAACATCCCTATACCATGTAGTATAGTGTCGCAGCTCTCGAACGATACCCCTCACGGCTTATATCCATAATTGGGTTCTTGGTAGAAGTCTAGTCTGACCCTTTGGGAATCTCCGATCAGGCCGGCAACTATGGGTATAGTTGAGCCCGTCGGGTATAGTCGGGCATAGTCCGAAACAAGGTCCGACCGGTGTTCTAGGCCATCGTCTGATCTGATGTCCACATCTCTACAACCCTAAAGCGTCACAACGGTATTGCAATTCAACCCAATTCGTTACTTGGGCTTATACCCAACATAACCCAATTGAATATGAAGTTACTCATGATGTTTAGCGGACTACACAAACCCCTACACGTTTCAGGGCGAGTGCAGCCAGTCACCTCAACGTATTACCCCCTCGATGACCCGTTACTCTGTGATCTCAGCCCAACCAGCTACCTCTGAGTCTCGGTACTAGTTCTGGATATAAGATAATATACATTGCAAACACAACTGAAAGGCGCAAAATAGCGTGTTCCACTAGTGGTTATTTGCAAGGCTTATCACCGCACAAATCCTTTTGTAAATAGGATGATATGACACCCTACTGTACTCGTGTAAAATTTGGACCTAACCCGAAGCCTCAAAGGTACGTAATTCCTGGTGTTGCGCTTCTACGTCGCGTTGCGCTTCCTAATACAGGACTGTACCGCTTCACTTTGACACGTGACCGGAATGCCGCGCCGAAATTGGGATGTGGACATTCTTATATAAGTGGTCAAGTGAAGCAATGGAAGTGAGTTCGGTGCTTATTGAAGGACGTAATATTGTTAATTGGTATCTAGAAATACAGCTTCAAAAGACTGGACTTCCATACAGTAATAAGGTGCGGGCTGGCCGTCGTCGGACAGTATAGTGAGACTGGCTGTCGCGAACAGTGCCGCGCCGACTGGAGTGACCGTATCGGTGTCGGAGCGCAAGACGATTTCGTTACCTGTGGGTGTTTGAGTGAATGGTCGTTCTGTGACGCTATCAGGGACTGACCTAATTGTGCAGGCTTGCCGTGTAACTCTAGGGCCCAAGCGAGGGTGAGCAATTGTCGGTCGTATTCAATCTGGAATTCCCGCCCCAGAGAGCCATCCGCGGCCCAGTCTGGGCGTATTGACGTAATAGTTGTGCCCGGCTGCTGTTAAACGTTTAATTGAGATGCACTTGTCGAGTCAGGTACACACCTCCTTTACAATGCCAAAAACGCAGAAGTAAATGGTGGTTCCGGCTTTGGGGTTCCCAGTACTCATGTTGCCCACGCACTTCGTGCACTTCCCTCCCTCGATGTTATTCCACCGACAATCCAACTGGTAGACGCAGAGAGTCCACTTGGCTGCGTCCAGGTACTCGATAAGGCCTCGCAAAATGTGGGGTCGGACGGACGTGCTCATGACAGCCAGGTGGGAAATGCAGAGTCGTAGAGTTGCAGTAACGGACCTAGTAAGTGTAACGCGGGCAACTGATCTAGTTCGTTTCATGTGTAAAGCTGTTATTTCCAATATCGAAGGGGAGTGCATCGTTGCCACAGAAAAGATTATAAATAGGTGGGTGAAGCCCTTCGACCTGCGGAAAAAAGAAATGTCGCGCATCATTGTCTCACCCACTACTCTTGACACTATCGCAGAGGTGAACGCGTCCGTTACTACGCGTAAACATGTATGTGGGCAGCCGTCGAAGTCTACTTACACTGACACTTGGCAGGAGTAAACCGACTTCGTGACTGCCTTGCTGTACGCAACGGGTGAGACGGTCCCTCTGGAGGTCACCGTCAGCATCGCGTCCAACAGAAGCGGCCCTGGTGGTTATGGGGCACTAGATTTTTTGCCCTGGTTGTCTCCTGGGGTCGAAACCAAGGGTCACATCATGGTGGAAATGTTGATTGCGCCTCTCCAAGGTGAAGGAACGTCGTTCGCTATTTTTGTGATGGACCAGGGCAGCCCTTTGGACGTGCACCCGGTGAACAGCTTTGTGAGGGAGAAGTCGGGAGAGGGTGTGGGTCAATGGAAGGGCAACATGCTCGTCGTGCGTACAGACCTGTGTCGTAAGACGTTTGAAAACGTTGAGTATTGCGACGTGAATTGGGCTAACGACTGCGTGATGTGGTACGTCCAGGTCTCTAAGCGCTCATGAATTTTCTGACACATTGCCCTGAGCATGGCGCGCACGGCGACGGGAGACACAGCTTGGCTGGGAGCGATAGAATTGGAGTAATGGCACAATTATGGCCCACAGCTGTAACTCCTCCATGTATTGTTTACTTGGTGCGATGTCTGTCTGGCCGTTAAATACCGGCCACAGTGCGATCCACGTCACAGTCATGCCCGGCTCGCGTTTCAGCAATTTGAACTGGATCTTGTAATACACAGACCTCCTGAATTGCTGGCAGATGATAAGCATTGGGTGTATGAAGTTCAACATCGAGCGTTTATATGGCATGTTTGTTTTTTCGAGCACTTTTAATCCAGCGCTTTGACTTTGTACGGTATTGCATCGGGAGACAACTCGGAGGATCGGGCTGGCATAACGTGCCGACCATGACCACTGATTTCAACGTTTGAGTCGGGGGAGGAATCTGGGTCGGCTGTATCGGTACCAGGGGCGCCCGGAGGGCCTTATGAATTTTATGTGCGCAGTTGAATTCTATCAGCCTCTCAACGTTTTCATTTCTCCAGCACTTACCCAGGTGCGAAATGATACCAAGAAAGCAGTATGGTGTATTGCGCACCCGGGGTTTCCTTTCACAGTTGATCATGGAATAGAAATACCCCGAGGTCTCGTTCGAGTCGAGGTGCTGCTGTGGTTCTTGTTGATGCCCGATGCGTTTTTGTTCGCGCTCTCTCTGCCCCAACTCAACGCGGAGTCCATTTCCGAGCCGTGGCTCTGCGTGTGTTTCTCTCTGGGGCGTATTCCTGTGTGCATTTCAAAATCGGGGCCGGGGAAGGACCTCTTCCGTGCTCTCGCAGCTTTTGAATTTGGTCGGCTGTGGAATGGGTATTGGAAAGCAGTGTGGTGTAGTGCGCACACGGGGTCTCCTTAATGGGAAATCGAAACTTACCCCCGAGGTCCTTGTTCGAGTCAAGACGCTACTGTGAAGCTAGTAGATGTGATGCTTTTTTTCCCCCTCCACCGCTTTGGTTTCTGGGGGGTCTTAGGAATCTAGGCGCGCGCGTCTCTGGTCTGCACGCGATTTTTTTCTGTGCCTTCTGGCCATGGGCTTGTCTGGGAATTTCGCGGGGTTTTTTCTCCCCACATTCGGGCTTTCCTGCGGCCTTTCTGCACGGACTTGGGCCTTTTTTCCGCCTAAATTCTACGCTCTTTTTACGCGCGCGGACCTGGGGTGTTTTTCTGGTCTGGGAATCTCGTAGGGCTTTTCGTATCCTACGCGGGCTTCTCTGGATATTTCACAGGTCTTTTTATTTATTTATTTCGGGGCCGTGCTCTCGCAGCTTGAATTTGCGTCCGTCTTGGTCGACTGTACAATAGGTGTTGAAAAGCAGTATGGTGTAGTGCGCACACGGGGTCTCCTTGAAGCTCAATAAGATGTGCCCCCCCGAGGTCCTTGTTCGAGTCAAGGTGCTGCTGTACAGCTAAACTATGTAATGCTTTTTTTTTCCCCTCCACCGCTTTGGTTTCTGGGGGGTCTTCGAGGAATCTAGGCGCGCGCGTTTGTGGTCTGCACGCGATTTTTTCTGTGCTTTCTGACCATGGGCTTATCTGGAAATTTCGCGCGGTTTTTTCTCCCCGCATTCGGGCTTTCCTGCGGCCTTTCTGCACGGACTTGGGCCTTTTTTCCGCGTAAATTCCACGCTCTTTACGCGGACCTCGGGTGTTTTTTCTCACGTCTTTATGGCACACATATGGCTGTAATAGTGTAACATTATTATTTTGTACACCACAAGTGTGTTTTGGTTGAAAATTACACCCCTCAGAGGACATTTCAGTTTATATTCACAGGTCACCGGTCACACAAGAAAATAACTTGCACTCCATGTTTTAACTGAACACAGGTTGTTAAACGGGATTTTAAAAGAACACTGCCAGGATTCCAGGTGAAAAAATGCACAGGTGGCAATCAACAATATTCACACCCTCCCGACTGGAGTAAAAAACATTCACCACTGCTGATCTATCACAAACACCGGTTCTTTTGGTCATTGCCAAAAAATACACAGCCCCGCGATGTCCTCCGAAATTCACCGCCTTCAGGGTCGACTATAGCTGAGGCGGTTGCATTCTCTGTTTGGTAACATCACACGTGATTTCATTCATTTGATCTGCCCATACTCCGAGTCAGTTTCCAGGCGCGTTCAGGCCCTACGGCAAGTAACATGTAGGCTTAAGACTCTGACAGTTCCTCTCCATATCCAATGTCCTCTTCACACTGCCTACGACCACACAGAAACGCTTGGGATCTATTTCACTTATCACCTAGATTTTCATCAGTCATGACGGTGCTAGTGCAGTCGCATTTTATCTCGAAAAGAACCACCTTGATATGTTCTGTAGGTCCTATGTCCTGTTCTTGAGCCTCGACTCATTCCCGCATCCAGGCCGAAGCTATATCCAGGGGTGATATCCTCATTCAATATTCAATGTAGCCAGGTAGCGAGGGCTAGGATGGCTTGAGGTGCAGATGAGGCATCGGCAAGAGAGCAGCGAGGGAGCAGTGAGAGAGGGTCAGAGTTTTAATCGCGCCCACACGACTCGTAGCGGTGTCAGTTGATCCGCGCTCTTTTGAATGCATGGAACCTAGGACCATAAAAGTCCGAGGGCCTATCCATTGCTAAGTCCAATCACCTGTGAAAATAAGTTATTCCGGGGACCTGTGTTTTTTTTTTTTTTTTTTTTTCATGTTTGAACCAGGTGTGACTTTTTTTAAAACAAAGGGTTTGAAAAAAAAAAACATATCTGGTAGTGAGTTTTTCCAGAGTGGTGTAATTTCCCCTGACTATACAACCTGTGAATGTATCAGGGCAGGGAAAATGCGAATAGGGGGGTGTGTAATTTTGGGCGACAACACCGGTGTAAATTTTGAAAAGACCTGTGCAAATTCTGTGATTTTGGGAATAATAATGTTACAGTATTACCCCCATACACACATACTGTGTCATACATAAAAAGTAACATTGGTCTGAGATTTAGGGTTTTTGCGCAGCATTGCACTTTGATTCGAGTGAAAAAAACGCAAACAATGAAATCTGATCTGAAAAAAAACACAATCAGCACAATCTCTCAAAAAAAACGCAATGTGCAATGTTGCCGAAAAAAACGATAACATTTGATCCACAAGACAAAACACAAGGTGTGGATTGCATGAAAAAAAAGAACGCAACATGTTGGGGGGCCAGGCATATATCGTACCGCCAGGTACCGCCATCGGATCAGCGGTTCCGACTTATCTCGGTGATCAACACTCCTCTCTCTCTCCGCCTTCATGAATGACGATTCGGGCCATGATGAGGCCCGCCACTTCTTCATGGAATGCCACCAGATTTCCAAAGAGGCTCAACTTCTTGTGTATTCACTGCCTTATGTTGAAACGGCAGCAGTGGAACGCGCTTGCAGACAACTCAATGCTGTCCGAGAGATCTTAATTGCTCTCAATGATCCTCATTCCACCCCTGCCGATCTGGAGCATCTCATACACTCTGCTCTACCCACTTGATCATTTTCTATCCAATCCCCCTCTTCCCCCACACACTCATATACCCCGCCGTCGTCCTGGCCAGCGAGGATGCTGGATCTTGATCGAGCCATATTACTTCATGACCTGAGCAACACTTGAGAAGATATCGCTATTGCGATGGGCGTTTCAAGGAGCGGTGGCCGGAGGTGGCCGCGATGCAGGTTGAATATGGTTAAGATCATAGCCAGATTTTCACGACCACACGCACTTGGGTCGGAGCTTCATGCTGAGCTGCGTAGCATCCATCTGCACAGACCACGCATTTCACAAGCCCCGGATGCTCAGCAGGAGGACCAGATTGAGGGATAAAGACTGTGCAGCCTGAGCCGCAGCAGTCACCTTTCAAACACTTTCCGCGGTTGCTGAAGTCCATTCAACGGTTGTGGGGGATGGGGAAGACGGACGACAATGGGGGATCTGCCAGCAAAGCAGGCCACGTAATCATATGGAAATTGAGTGATCAGGCGTGCTCCGGGCTCATATAATTCTGCTCAGTCGCAAAGGCTACCAAGTGTGGATTGTGTTTTTTTTTGTGTCGCAGTTTACATTGTGTTCTTTTTAGGCAGTGATGTATATTGTGTTTTTTTACACGTGAGCGTGACTGATTGTGTCAAATGTTGGAAATCTCTCATTGCATTTTTTTTCCAACTGGTACCTACACTGCGCGTTTTTTCTTGAGTTTTGAGCTGATTTTTTGGGACAGTATACCGCCCATAAGTCTTTTCCTATTCTACGCGGGCTTCTCTGGGCATTTCGCAGGTCTTTATTTTATTTTATTTCGGGGCCGTGCTCTCGCAGCTTTTGAATTTGCGTCCGTCTTGGAATGGGTGTCGGAAAGCAGTGTGGTGTAGTGCGCACACGGGGTCTCCTTGAGTCAGAATAGAATATTGCCCTCGAGGTCCTTGTTCGAGTCAAGGTGCTGCTGTAGAGCCAGTATATATATCGGTTTTTTTTTTCTTCCACCGGTCGCTATCTAAATTCTCCATCATTCACCCAGGTGAGAAATGAACACGGGTATTTTATCCGCCAGGTTGGACTAGGAAGAATGGTCTCGATGTCCTCTTTCAAATCGAGGTACTGCTGTACAGCCACATGTACTGGTTTTTTTACCGCTCGCTATCTAATTCCTCTGCATAAATCCCGCTGGCCAGCTGGTCCAACTCGGACTCGGACTCGGACTCGGACTGGGATTTGGACGCGGGCTGGCGCGTTTCTTTCTCTCTCCGTGTGGTTCAGCTTTTCCCGGCGGAGCGTCTAAACTTGTCCTCTGCCATGCAACGACTTTGCGGTGAATGCGTTTATTTTCCGCGAGCGGTTATGCGGGTGCGAAATGGGGTGAGGGAAGCAGTATGGTGTATTGCGCACACGGGGATTCGCTTTTCCATCTCAACAGCTATACCCTGAGGTCCTTGTTCGAGTCGAGGTGCTGCTCTTCAAGTTTCTGGTTTCAGCATTTTTTTTTGGTCCTGTCTCTCTCTGCTCTTTTCTGCGCGTGTACTTTGTCCGGGATTGTCTCTGCGTTTCTATCTATGCGCGCTTGAATATCTGGCCGTTCAAGTTCGCGCCGAATACGTTCATTTCCTCTAGCATTTGGCCAGGTGCGAAATGGTAATATGGGAGCAGTTTGATGTATCGTGCCCACGGGTTCATTGAGCTGGAGACATTCATTGTTGGTATGCAATTCATCCCGAGGTACTGGTTCGAATCCAGGTACTGCTCTATTGCCGATGTCTGTTTTTGCTTTTTGCTTTATTTCTTCTCTGTCGTTCGTGTACTAATCGCCAACTCGCAATCCAAGTCCTTTCTCTGCCTGCGTTTCTCTGGTTCTTATTTCTGTGCATTTCGAGGGCCCTATCGCAGCTTTTGAGTTTCTGTCCGTCTCACAAGTTTAACCTCGTGCCGATCGTTCATTTGCCGCTAACCCTTACCCAGGTGCGAAATGAAATATGAAGCAGTATGGTGCATTGAGCACACCATATTCATCGAGGTCCTTGTTCGACCCAGGTGCTGCTGTACGTCGACAATCGATGCGTTTTTCTCGCTCTCTCTCTGCGGCACTAGTCCATAATTCGGAGTCCACTTCCGATGTGCGTTTCTCCGAGGCTTATACTGTATTTTTTCGTTCAATTCGACAGGGGGGCTGACGCGTGACACCCGGAACATATTCGACAATTCGACAGCGGCCAAAATTAGCGTGACAAAATCGCAAATTTCGACAATTTCGACGAGAAATTTCACAAAACCAGTACATCCAGGCGAACCTCGCGGCATGTCACGCTGGGGCAATTCGACAACTACCCCTGTGACGCGTGACACCGCACCAAAATTCCTCGTCGACAACCCCCTGTGACGCGTGACCGTCGAATTGAATGTAAAAATACAGTAATTAATATTCAAACGACCGACGCGAACGACGGAGCAATTGAGCAGCCTTAATGAAAACGGGTTGCGAAAGGCAGACTTGGTATGGTGCTTTACGCTTTCGGGGTTCAATTCGATGATAAAATCCCACCACTATCACCCCCCGGGACCTTGTTCCAATTAAGAAGGTACTGCTCGCCATAAATCCACAATCCGCTTTTGGCACCCCATATAAAGTATTCTTCAATGTAGATATGTATGGCCCGCGAATGTGATATGCCACGATCAGCATCATCTGCCCTCGGAAATTTCCCCAAACCTTGATCTGAGAGTGTCGAACTTATGGCTGTGAACCCCTAATGACGTGCATGATGGAGAAAAAGAAGAGACAAATGAAACCAAGGACCATATGAATTTGTTAAGTGAACGACTCCTCCATAAGTACTCGCAATCAAATATACCTCCAAGGGTCAAATATTGTAAAGCGGCGCAGAATAGTACTTGGATATCTGACCCAAGCAAGGAAACTGTGTGCGGGATTATGTCGTTGCCATTTTGCGCAGCCCGATTCGTGGCATGGCAAAGAACTGCGGTGAAGAGCGCCAGAGGAGCACCTTGTCTTCAGCACTTGAACACCTTCCGGATCTTGGGGAAATCTGAAAAGTGGAATGTGCAAGGAACTTCTGTGTGCTCCGGCTTCAACACCCAGTGGAGACAGTTCTAGATAACGAAGAACCGAAATAACTCACGACCAACTGAGCGAAATAACCGAGAAGGGTAGAGATCTCAATGTTAGAGTTGTACATTCACGTACAAGTGGAGCGAGGGAACTTCAGCGTGTCAACAAATGGAACGCGCATTGTACTAACATCTTGGAAACAGGAGGTAAATATATTTCTAGCTAACAACTAATGAGCAGCGAATAAAGCTTCCATCCCCCCTCGTGAATTTTGATCAATTTCCGTCCTGGGTTTAACAGTGATATCCAACTGTGGCTCTCACACCTTTTTGTGAGCAGCAGCAAGCCTCTTACCAATCTCGGCAACATCCTTTCCTTGTGATGACTTCTCAAACAACGGCTGAGCCTCCTCCCAAAGTTTCACTGCATGCACCAAATCCCCTCGTTGCTTTGAGATGTCCCCCAGGAGGAGCATGCACTGTGCTCGACTGCGATGAATACCCATGAAAGTAAATCCCTCCAAAGCAACAGTGAAAAGACTGTGTGCTGTGTCCTGATCTCCATTGGCAAGAAACACGTCTCCCAGGAATTGCAGGGCCTTGCACAGTACAGACTTGCTCTGTGTGATCTTCGCAAATGCTAGGTATACCACTGTCCAGCCAGATGCCCAATGAAAATCTTCCACCGGCCACTGGTTTATATTGCCGAGTCTCTCCAGGCAATATGTAACTCCCGGAATGTGAGATTTCCAGAATAAAAACACGCAGTGCTGGAATTTAGATCTTGCACTGACAATCTCTCTCTCTCTAAGATCCAAATCTGCTGAAATCATTGCTACGCAATCCAGAGAACTGCCATGAAGATGTCTAGTTGCTTTATCCAGGTTCTGCTGAACAACATCTGCTCTTGTGCCGATCATAATATCAACTTCTGCCAGGTTGAGAACGCTCGTAGCATGCATGTATGCATTTTGATCTTCGAAAGTGTTGCGAACCATTTCAATGTGGATTCTGCGAGCCTCGGCATATTCTGACTTCAGCAGATATGTATCTGCCTCAATCATCATGATATCAGAAGCCAATGAACCTGTTGCCAAACCACAAAGGTCCAGTAGATCTCGTGCCCTATGACATACTGAGATACTGGATTTGTAGTCGCCGAGGTCCTTGTAGCATATTGCTTCAGTGTCCAATGCCCTTGCCTCACTATAAAAATCTGCACACAGTTTGGCAAGTTTCTGTGCCTCTCGAGCTTGTCTCTGGGCTGAGACATAATCTCCAGCTCCCCATGTTACATTGGCAAAAAACTTCAGCACATTACACTGTTGCTTCTTGTCCCCAGAAAACCTTGCGAGCTCAAGTGCCTTATTGAGATATTTGATAGCTGAAGACATGTCCGCTTCAAAACGGCAGTAGAAATCTCCTATGACTTTATAGAATCGGGCTATTTCGAATCAATCAGATATGAGGATTCAGAAAATGTGTAATAATAATATACTCACACTCGAGAACTGGATCACTGAATTTACAGAAGAGGGACATAGCCTGAGCAATCATCTGGTCCGGATTGGGGACAGGACAAAACAAGTGTGAATTGAACATCTCCGTGATCCACTGTGCCTCTAGTCTGCTGTCATGCGTCAAATAAATGACGCTGGGGATGTGATCCATCAGAAAATGACGACCCTGGCCAGTTATTCGGCTAACAGAATTCAGACAGAGTGTGCACTGAATAGTATCCGCCAGGGATGGATTATTCGAATGCAATCCACGGAGTAGGACCTGGTGTATATTCCCAGGATGTGAGCGAATTTGATCAAGCAGCCCTCTTTGTTCTTTATGGTCTTGGAAACACTGCAAAAAACAAATGGAAATATCTCCTGAGATGGTCGATTTTGGCTAGAGATGGAGGGTAAAACTGCTGCATGTGTTCCCGAATGGGGACCAGCGACTTCAACCGTTTCTTGTCATCCATATAAGCTAAAGAGGTCATCAACAACACAGATTTGCATCCTAGGATATCCTTGATAGGAAGCTTGCTTTGGAGGAGATCTGCATCGGAAAGGCCGTCTAGAAGGACTGAGAGCACACTCAATAAATCCTTGGCACCAGTGCTCATGCGGGGGCTTGACAGTGATACTGCAATTGATGCATCCAAATTGGACTTTCTGTCATGACCCTGAGAAAGAACAGAAGTCTTCTCCATTGCCCAACGAGCTAGCACGTCAGAACACCCTTTGTAATCCACAAGATGTGCCATGAGATCAACTGCCAGTGGCATGTTGTCTGTAAAGGAGAGAAGTTGGTTTATGTCCTCACTGGCATGAGTGTCCTCAGCAATGTCGAAAAATGTCTGTCGAGCAGCAGAGTCCGATAATGGCTTCAATGGTGGTAGGAAAGGCCGAGTCCAGCGGACTCGTGCCGGTCTTTCAGCGCCTCGCATTGTAATCTGTCAGACAAACGGTCAGTATATGAAACTTCAAATGGTCATATGTGTACACACCATAAGTCCTAGATGTCCGATATCACTGAGTTTCGACAGAAACTCTTCGACCTCACCCCGAGATTCAATCGGCTCCCACAAAGTTTCAAGATTGTCCAAGATCAATAAAGCAGGCGGGCTGCTGGAAAAGTAACGGAGAACTGGTTTTGTGAGATTTTTCCCAGGTGGTAATCCAACGTGCGAGCCAATAAGAGCTGCCAGCTCAATGCAAGTGGGTGCTGAATCAGAGGCAACGAAAAACCGAGTCCGATATCTGGCTATAATGTCGGGATGGTGAAGTACCGTCTTGGCCAGACTTGTTTTCCCCATTCCGCCGGCACCCAGAATTGCTATCCGGGCTGAATCCTTGAGGAGGATTTCCACAGTGGCCGCCAGGTCTGAAT